GTTAATTTTTTAAGTATCTTTAGAATAGATATCTTAATATCCTCATTAAAAGTAATATTTGAAGCAATAAATAACGTAAGTAAAAATACATAAATACTATATGTTAGTTCAATTCTTAACGAACATAAAAACATTTCTGATAAAATAGAATTACTTTTCCTAAGATTGAATAGCATTCCAGTCAGCCAATTATTATAGTAGTGATGGCTGAAATGGGAATGGAATGCGGTGCAATTTCATTTATGAACATCGAAAGTTCTTAAAATTACCGTCTGTACATTTGTAACGTATTATAGCAGGTACACTGTATGGAATATATGCATATTCAACATTGTCCATGTTGCGTATTTTCCCAAGATGCTTATCTCTCAATGTTCTCCTTTCGGCCCTAACTTTGCTAGAAACGTCATCACTAATGAATATGTTACTTCCTTTAAATGGATTATTTTTTAGCTTCTTTGGTGCAAGGCGGAGAATGGTAAGCTTATCTTTATAGCGCAGCAGTTTACAGTGGATTGGTCTAGGTTTAAAAGATTTAGCTGTTCCAGATGATCGATGTGCCCTATCTATCTCTATTCCAACAGGTATTTCCATGTGGGTAAGTAAAATTTCACGGGCTATATCTTCAGCTGTTTTACCACTTCCATTTTCAGGAACATTAAACATAATGATGTTGTTACGTCGTGAACGATTTTCGAGATCTTCAAGTTTGTCTTCCAGTGAGTTGATAGTGGCGGCCATTTTGTCAAAGTCATGCTTTTCTAAGCGACTATCGAGGTACAGTGCAGATTCTTTCAAATCAGCAACATCATCGCCAAGCACATTAACGTCAACTTCAAGTTTAGATGTTCTTGATTTTAGCTCATTAATTGAGCTCTCAATTGAAATCATTGTAGACAAAATTTTGTCGAGTTTGGTGTTGAGCACGGTGTTGCTAGGCTCAATATTGGTCGAGTCTGGCACAGCATTGGAAGGCTCACTGCGCTGGGAGACTTCAGTCTCGCTTAATGCAGCTGTTGCCGATCTTAGCCTAGATTTTACTGCCTTATTTTCTTGTTTACCACTGGCCATTTTCAAAGCAAGATGGGATTTATGTATACGTTAATGATTAAGTCTTGAATTACTTACAAGTAATATCTTCAGAATGATATATGCATGAATAATAACTAATTTAGCACCGCACACCACAATCACACTGCTCATCTAGCCATTGTTCTATATGTCTAGATGAGCAGTGCAGGGGTTTTGGAAGTCCACCACTTCATTTTTGTGATGTCAGATCGATGATTCATTCAACCTAGTTTTGACTTTGAAATCAAAGATGGCCGCCGAATTTTCAGCATTATATTAAGTGGCCAAATAGGTTTATCTATTTTGGTATGGCAATACAATATAACCTGGGAACTCTTTTAGTTTTTTAGTTAAAGGATTTTTAATGAATTAATACGTCTGTATAATATGTACATATTTCAACAAATTGTTTTATATAAATTGAAACAATTCTATATTAAGGGAAAATAATAGTATATGCTGAATATAAACTGTAAACATAATTCTAGTTGATAGTTCTGTAAACCTATTTTACTTAGTAAAAAATGTAATTGTTTATATAATGAGTATGTACAAATGTATGTATGTGTATATGCATGTATTAGGAAACTAACATCTCTCACCTGCAGTGAGTAATTTTCCTTCTTTCAAAGTCATTTTCAAGATGTTAGACAACTTCTGTTTGTATTTTTGGGTTGGACTTTCTTCCAGGAACTTTCAAACTTTCTGGTCTTTCAGCATCGTTTCAAGGTTTTGTTTTGCTCCGTAAGATGTCTTGATCTTCTTCGCGTGCAATATTTGCATGCAGCCAGCTCGACCGCTACGATCAATAGGTTATGGTTTGGTAGTGATTGCATAGTTTAAGCCTTAGCTAGGACCGGTTTTTTTCCTATAGTAAATTATTCGGTTGGATAGGTTAACCATACATTTTCCCAATAATCTAAAGCCGGCCACTCACAGGCCCAGACAGTCGTTGGCCGTCGCGATTCTATAGCGAATGCAACGCCACGACGCGCGCACAACGAATCATTTTTTAATGACGATCCATTAAGGCTGCCGCTGTCAATCAGCACAGGCGGCGTCGCGTCGTCTAATACGCTCACAAAAAGAGGAGTTGGATTCGCACTCTGACGGCCGTGCAACTGTCGTACGACTGAGTGAGTGCCCGTCTTTAACCGATACGTCAATGTTCTTGGTGTACTGTATTTCCTGTTAAATGCGTTTACTGCTCTTTCAAACATTATTTTGTGCTACGACAGAGCACACTAATATTTAATGTTCTAAAATCGTGCTCTATCGTAGTGATTCGTACTCAAAACGTTCAAATTCAATTGAATTTTACATTTTGTCAAAACGATATCAGGACGCCGTCAAGATTGTACTACGGCAGTAATGCGATAGTGCGACGACATTGTTACGAATTATAACGATAGAGTTGACGACAATGTTAAGATTTGTCACAACGTACTACGAATTAAGGTTGTGTCACGACGTCACTACAATTTTACAAAAACGAAAGCACGACGTCAATGCGATTTGCTGAATCTTTCAGTTTTTTAACTAATGCCCGTTTCCCACATTTACGGTTTTTGCTACGATGGAGCACGATTTGAAAAAAATTTAAAATCGTGCTCTATCGTAGTGATTTGTACTCAAAAAGTTCGAGTTTTACGTTTCATCAAGACGCTACTAGGACGCCGTCAAGATGTATTACGGCACTATTGCGATAGTGCGACGACATTTTTACGAATTATAACGATAAAGTTACGATTTGTGACGACGTACTACGAATTACCAAGATTTTAATTCGACGTCACTACGATTTTACAAAGACGCAAGCACGACGTTAGCACGATTTAACAAGACGCACATCACAAAAATAAAACATCACATGACATGACAAAAAAGCGCACTGTTCAAACACCATCAATATTTGCATGCTGCTATAGGAGAAGAAAATTTGTTGGCTGCTACAGCTTTGATAATCAAGAGTAAGCGTCGGTCACGTCGACATCGAATGCATAGGCCTAAACGAAGTGTATGGGTACAGCCATGGCTCTTACGTCGTCCATATTTTAGACAGTATGGACACTTACTAGTAGAGTTAAGACCCAAGAGGCTTCAGAAACTTTCTCCAAGTGAGCAAGGAATTGTTCAGTGTGTTGAAAACCTTTTCTGTCACAGAGCCACGTGATATAAACCACGGTCTTGATGGTATCCTAATGGCATCGTATCTAATCGTCTCAGCACCGCAGCGACGTCTTGGCTTGTCGTAGGTGTTGTTGGTAGTACGAATAGACAAGACACAGTCACGACAAACGACGACAACGTTACTCCACTCACACGATGCCGCTGCGGTAGACCAAGATCTTTTTCACGGCTACGATTGAGCACGATTTTTTTTTTTAACATTCCAAAAAAAATCGTGCTCCATCACGATGACATCAACATCCAGTACGATGCAATACGATGAATTATTTTTTACCACGACATTTACGACGACGGCATTGCGATTTTTCAAAATTGAAAAATCGTGCTCTGTCGTAGCAAAAAATGTGAATGTGGGAAAGGTAACTAACGATCATCTACAGTCGGGCACAAACTGTGTCGTACGACGGATATACGACAGTCCAATCACGAATCCATCTCCGGTCTCTGTGAGCGCTAGACGGCGCGCCGTCTGCTGATTGTCGATGGCAGAGGAACGTCGGCGCAGTGTGTGCCGGATTTAGGAAAAATAGGCCTAATTGCTTTTAAAATCTAAAGGATTTTAAAAATAGGCTCATGATCGCAGCATGATTATACAGTAGAAACTAGGTCGAAATTAACATAGTCCATTGTCAGAGCAGCTGCAATCAGCCATTGGTCACATCTGCCAAAACGTAGGTTCAATTACCAACTTCCTGAAAAGTTGGATGGGTAGTTGGAACGCGAACTCGTGATAAACTCAACATATTTCATTTTACAAAATAATGTTAACACTTTCTATTTTACAGAGGAATTTAACCACCCCTAGCATAAAGTATATCTGCGCAAGAGCAGTATAGTAAGAAATGTTTATAGCTGGGGGTATACAGTACCGTAAATATGATAAACACAGATTAGTTTAAAACATAGTTTAGTCTAGGCCTATACTCTATCGTTTATAACGATATAAACTATAACGATATAAACGCATATATAGATAAAACGAACTTCATACACTGTATAACCTTTATTTTATATAACTTTGGAGACCAGAATACATTTCATAAATTTAAGACATGATAGTATTATTATGTTACATTCCTCTACGAGGCCTACGATTTAACGTCTGTTGTAGGCCTAATTCAATTTCTTAAAACAAAATAAATTAAAAAAAATTAAATAAAATAATGCCTCAATTCGTCGGTATTTGTATTGCAATGAACATTACGTCACAAATTATAATGTTACATTACAACTATTATAAAAGGAAAATTATATTGCAAATGTAAACTATTATTAGTAATAAATGAGTTACGAATTCTAATCTTATATTCTTAAAATTTATAAAACCTTAATTCTGTGATCTTTTTATTGTATAGAGAATCTGATTTAAAAAAAAAAAAGTTTTAATGCTAGAAACTGTTATAATCTTCGCTTTTGGCCCAAAATAATACAGAAACAGAATATTGAATGAGTTTTAACAACCTACAAAAGGTTCAATAAAACGTGTACCGATATACTGTAATCTTAATAGAACGGTAAAATGATAATAGAGAATATCAATATCTAAAGTAGAGAATATCAATATCTAAAGAACAAAATGCATAGAATTGCAAACAATGAATTTACCTGTAAACGATATATACCATTTTCGTCAAATGAAAATTTTCGAAAACCTGGCAACCACTGGGGTGAGCATTTTGCTTATTTGTGGGCGGTATAAGGCTTTCTTTCTTGTTATAGCCTAGTCTTTGAAAACTTTATGCCAAAACGAAAAAATATATATATAAATAAAATTGGGGCGCATAAAACCTGCAGTCTTTCGGTTTTTATTTGGCATACTGGATGTCCCCAGTAAAAAGTTGCAAGTTTTCAGGCGTTGGTGGCGCTATTTCAAAATACGCCCAATCAAACGGTGTATACCGTGTGCAGTTCGCACTCATGTTAGCACCCAGAACTACTGCTAAGGATACAGTCAGTATAAAAACCATCTTGTAGTTCAACGTGTGCATGACAATGTTTATGGTTACTGTATATAAACAACCCTCTGAGGTATAATATGAATAGAAATTGCATGCCAACTATAATAGACTACCATTAGGCTGTACATATACATATGCTACGTATAGTAATTACTGTGTGCGTCCAGACATTTATATACCGATCCATTTAAAGCGAATATTCACCCTCTGCTCAGACGCCACAGCTGGGGGCATCCAGTGGGGACATACAAACCATCTTATACAAATGTAATTTTGAAGTTGTATTACGTACAGTATTGTGTTATCGTAATGCTGGCCTACTCTAAATACTTTGCACCATGAAATTTACGCCATGTACGACGCGAAGAACCCGAGAAGGCCCCCAGCGATGGCGGTACTGATAAAGAGCGCCTTTAGCTTTCCTAATTGGATTTGTGTATTGTCATTAGATCTACTTTTGTGAATATCAGTTGTAAGTAGACATCTTATTGTCTGTCAAACAGTTACCGTACACTTACGTTACTGTTCATCTTGCTAATTCAATCAGACTAATCAAAGTCAATGGCAACGCGGCATTGTCAACAATGAATTTCTTGTTCTGTAAAGTGTTCACACATATTTATTTTACACATGCATCATAAATGATAGCAATGCCAGTGGACAGAGTTATACAGTAGAAAGCTTTCGATTTGCGCGACGACGCGACGCTAGAACGGAATCACTCATGAGTTCTCTGTATACGTAGATGTGGCGAAATTGCGTCCTAGAATCCACGCGACGAGGAGAACTTAACGTTTTCGCATGCGCAGATGACTTTTAGTGACATCATTACGTTCTACGTCCTACCGTCGTCGTGCAATCGAAAGCTCACTATCTTCTTATTCGACAACGTTCCTAACTAGGAGCCCCGCTCGGAGCCATTATATAATTTTAGTTACAATATTATACATTTAGCTCTAAACCAAAAACTGACATTGTTTCTGCTGTTTATTTACATTTTCATCTGATAAAAATATAAAAAAATCTCAAGCCACTAAAAAAAAACCCCTACATATTTTCGTCTAAAAATATATCCAAATTTATATAACATCTCTCTCTGTCTCTCGCCTCTGTAGCTCCCTCCCGTTCTCGAGAAGACAGTAATTCAATTGTGTCCATTTATTGAAGGCCTAATTTACAACCAGTTGGCAATTCTTCTGATGTCATGTTGATAGATAGTTGTGTTTTGTTACAACAGGGTCCATATGTGATTGTTTTAAAACATTTTAGACGCCGTCCATTAATTTATGCCTTAATTTATACAGAATCGTAAATTGTGATTTTTTTTTTCATTTTTCATTAATTAATAAAACAAACAAAAAAGGAACATTTACTTGAAAAGGAAGTAAATGAAACAACGAATTGAAGTAATAATATTACGTAATTGGTGATAGCTTACCTGTTCTACTTCTAATTTTATTTTTAAACCGAGGAGGGATGAATTTAAAATAATTTCTAAGGCACATATCTAAACAAAATTTTATATAAAAAACAATTAAAATGAAAAAAAAAACAACAACAGCAACAAATAAACTTGCATTCCAAAACCAGTTTCGATGTTTTTAGTAGCAAGCGTAATCCATTCTACAAAATCCCAATATATACTATAAGGGCGCTAGACATACAAGAGAGCCTTCCATTGTACGCACAAAATGTTGAAGGTACATGCAATATGATCGTGGTTCTACATAATATAACAAATTCATTGAATTCCGATTTGATTTCCGGTAAATATTAACCCTAACTATTTATCAGGGTTAATAAGTATCTCCTGATTGCTTTGTATATTCATAATTATAATTAGGCCTAATTTCCACAAAATTCAGCTCCACTGAAGTTTTTAAAAAGCTATTTCGATACACAGTTCGCTTTGATCAAATTTTGGGAAAATTCTGAAAAGTAGACAGGTTGCAGGGCACCAAGTACCTCGACTTAAAATCACTCTTCGAAAAATGTATCAATAGGTTTGTCCAATGACCACAACGCCACACTGTATGCTAAGTTTACCCTTTTTATCGGCTGAAGGTAAAACCAGTTTATGCTGGCGCCCTCTAGGTCATCAGGCCATAATGAAGAAAATGGCTAGCATATCTTGTATCTGATGTTATGAAATTTAAGTTTTCATTAAGATAACTATTTTGAGGATAACGTATGTCCCCATCGGGATTCGAACCCAAGTCCTTCCGATTACCGTTGGATACTCTACCAACTGAGCTATGAGGCCAAGTGGTATACACCTTTGAATTTTTCCATTACGCAATGTATAATAGTAAGTCACATGAAAGCAAATTGGTATGGAGATATACCTCCACTAGTCTTAATTAAAGATGATATAAAATCATGGTATTTACTAAATACCACGATTTCAACTAAGGGGGTGTGGCTTATATGGTGACTTCATGCATATTTAAAATGTCTACCTGAAATTATTAATTAAATCACACTTTTGGTATTTGTGCATATAAGCTTGCAAATATGGATATTTTTTTCATTTCTGATGACGTAATTAATGTCAAAATATTGAATCCCGACACGATGGCGTGCGTTTCGATACTTGAATTATGTATTAAACTATCTTGTACCTAATTCTGTTCACGTTGTTTGCACATGGAGGAAATAGTTTGTTGTAAGCTAGTATTTTGCTATTATGCATGACGTCACCATAAGAAGCCACACTTCCCTCTGCTAAAGTCATGGTAGTTAGAATCTACCAAAAAGGATGAAGTCACTTTTACTAGGCCTATACTAAACAATTATAGTAATTGGATCCACTTCTATCTATTCTAAAAATTATGCATTGCACATGTAAATAAAAATAATCCAACCGTTATATTAATCTGTAGCATTTCAATAAGTATTGATCAAATATAATAAATGTATAAAATTATATATTGTAAAATGGGTTCATATATTACACGACTCTATCATTAAAACTAACACACAGTGCCATAACGTTGTATTCCTGAGAGGTTTAATGTACATACACCTTTATGTGTATTAGGTTAAATAAGTTAATATATAAGATTATAGTTACACGTTTGATAGACTACAGGCCTATCATAACTAAAGCGTTGGCTAAACCAATTCACTGTTTTCTGGCTAAACCCTTCAGAGATATTACACTTTACATAGATAACATCCGATGCATACCGTATCACGTCGCCTGTGTAGGCCTATTGGTACCTGGTATTGGATATAAAATCAAAACATAAACATAAATACAATGCAAGACTGAAAATTCCGTAAGCCTGACATATCTTGACCTCAAGGTATACATTGTAAACAAACTCAAATTAAAACACATGAAACAATTACTGATCTAAATAGAAGAAGAGAGTACAAATGAATATATATATATATATATATATATATATATATATATATATATATATACGAATCATCAAAGAAAGGTAAATACAGTGTTGAATAAAGGACATAATAGTACATCGTACATTGTGTAACATAGCTGTCAACGAATGTTCCGTAGCATAGCTCTCAACATTCGTTGAGAGCTATGCTACACGATGTACTATTATGTCCTTATTCAAACACTGTATTTATACCTTTCTTTGATTATTTATATATCATTTCATTTAACAGTATTAACGGCAACCTTACTTTATATTATATAGGCCTATATATATTACTTAGTAGGTTCATATACTCAAGTATATATACATTAGTTTAAATATAATAGGCCTATATGTTTCTCGTGGGTTCCAAGAATAGTAAAATAGATATGAGACTAAATACCAATACTAGAATTTAAAAACACGAGTGAAATAAGGAGTGGTATAAAAACTATAAAAAAAAAAAAAATAAAAAAAAACTTGGATCAACTATAAATGCTATTATTCTAAACTACAATAAACCACATACACATTTTTTTTATGTAGGGATAGGTACGGTAAATAAACAGGCGGTTTGGTTACGGTAGAAGGTATATAAATAGAATAATTATTAGATGTTATTCTAATTCCACTCCAACTTCAAAGTTGCAAGGGAAAACCCGGCATTCACGAATTAAGGCGAACTAAATACATGCAACTTATTATTGTATTACAACTAAAAAATATACTGTACATGTCGAGGTAGCTAGAACAGCCTGAGCAAATAATCAGTCCAGAAAATAACGGTACCCTAAACTTAAGTATGCAATTAAAAACAAATATAAGCAAACTATAATTTCTCAAAGCGTATGAAACAAGTCAATGGATATATAAAAATGATAACGTACTGTTGACGAAATATGACGGCTACTAGATTTTTCGTAATTCTATAAGTATCATGGCAACCAACATTGTATTTAATCTGTGCAGGGTCTATGATCTGTACAATGTACAGTAACGTTTAATACGAACATAGATTAATTTTATTGTTGCCAGAATGGTGTTTTAATCTTTGAAAAATGTCATAGAATTCATATCATTTTTAGTATTTATAAACGTATGCCTAGGTATCAAACTGGTGAACTTTTGAACCAGCCTGATTCGAGGGTAGGCCTATATAATGATAGTCATATGCAGTAGCTGTATGATAATTTAAACTAAACAGGACGACACGTGGTTTATATTGTCATCATTTTCTCGTTCACAGTACGAATCTATGCAAAGTACGGATGTTAGTAATATAGTTTCCCATGCGAAATGTGAAGCGAAACATAGCACTCTGAAAGTAATTGAGGATATGATGGTATAATCTAATTGGGACAATTCACCAAAGTTTTGGTTAGACAATGTTTCCAAACTTAAACATAGAAAGTGTTTGATTGCCAGAGAGTGTATAGAAGAGTTTATGTCGCTAATACATCAGGAAAACCAGTGCGCATGTGCGGTTATCTAACCACCATTGAATCCCAAAATGAGTCCAACCTAGATCCATATAGGTAAAGATCAATTTTGTTTACAAAATTGGAAATTAATCTCATTTGAATTTGAATTTAAATTGAAAAGGTACACAGCGCCAGTATAGAATGATAAATAATTATATAAATTTTAGGTTACAGAACATAAGCCATTTTTGGAAGTCAAGATGAAGTGAATTACATTTGTTTCTTTTTACAGTTTAGCCATCGTTATTAAAAACCACTGTTGCCAAAAAACAAATTAAAAAATATAGCATATTGTGTTGAGTTTGGAACATATTGAGCGAAATGAGTATTACTGTACCAATTACAGTGAAATAAGAAATAATAAAAAAAAAAAAAAAACATGTCTTTTATGTTTAAATTTTTTGCTGGTCGTTATTAATAGCAGTTAGTTTGAAGCACTGATACAAAGCAATTCTAAAATTAAAGCTATATAAATTAAATTAATGCAATAATCAATGTTAAATATGAACTTTTTGAACAAAATATTATGAAATAATGTATATTTTATTTTTTGTTTTTGTTTTTGTTTTTGTTTTTGTTTTGGAGATGCTATCCAAAAAACATTGCAGATTTTTCATTATTAATTTTCCAAATATATCACAATATCCATAGCTAATTACGTCATGAGTGTTTGCCGCAGTGCATTGTGGGTGTGTGTATCACATTCGTAACCTACCGTTCGTAATATAATAACCTCAGTTTTGTATAGGTTTCTCTAATGACTTATTAGATCATGGATTTAATAATAAAACATTATTAATCATTAATAGATTTAATACCTTCATTGAAAAGCCAAGATGTTTGCAAAATCATTTATTCAGAGAACATTGCGGTAAACACAGATGACGAAATCAAGGTTTATGGAATTACATAACACTGAGTTATTAGTCATTGCATTCTCTCCATAATACAGAAACCCAAAAGAGCATCTAAAAAAGAAGATATATATCACAAGTTTGTCTAATGAATGATTCAAGCTAATATATATTATCACAGCTTCTTCTGACCTAGATTTCGTTTCTGAAAAAGTTTCAAATTAATTTATTTATAAAGGCACTTCGTTGCACGTGTACTTCGCATTGGTCCTACGACATGCAATGTTTGCTCGGCACGCATGCGCTCTTCTGACCAATTGTGAAATTCCGAAGATGTTTCAGTCACAAATCTAAGTTATTTTGAAACTGTGATGGCGTGTGTTATTTGGAGTGTTAGTTGATTAAGAAGGAAACATTGTCTTTCACCCTCCACCCACTTACGGGTGTCTTCGGTTCGGGAAGTCAGTACGACGGGTGTCAAGGAAGAGAATGACGTAACTTCGATCTTGTCTCGGGTTTCCTCGGAACTGAAAAATCTGACACAACGAAAAACACATGAACATCAGACGATTAAAGAAATTTCAATGAAGCAAACATCAGCCAACGAGCGCAAATAATCAAGACAAGTTATTTTTGGAGTCGATACATTTTAAAGGTTAACGTTTGCAAGGGTTGGATTTTTGGGTAATTAATTTCAACAATCAGGCAATTAACATTGTGGTTGTATGCATTCAAAATTGCTTGTACACAGTTAAATTGTTACAGACAAAGAAATGATAATCAAAAAGTCAGGCTTGTGTTAAAAAACGAAGAATTCTTCAAGCACCTAGACCTGTAACTTAACCAATGGGCTGATCCCAACACATCGGCCTACGATTGCTACATCCACATATACTGCAGATGTACTCGCATCCATCAGTTTGTAAGGGAAAGACTATGCAAATAATTGTTCGATTAACACTGTATAATAGTCTAAAATGTTTTACAAATTTGAAATGAATTATACAGTTTACTATAAAAATGCATTGGAGAGCCGGGGCGTCATCGTGAAACGTCCAAAAGTTGAACTAGATGTGGACAATTATTATTCATCGTTCCTAAACTAAATTACATATTCATAAATATGTTAAGATTCATAAATATGTTAAGATGCAGATATGCATTTTCAGATCATACATATTATAATATTCATGGTAATAATTACTTACATGTTATGTACTGAAATAGTGCTAGAGATTTTACCTGGTTACGTGATTTCCAGTTGTTATTTCACATTAATTATATTCTTATAAAGCTGTATTTTAGTGAACTAATTAATTACAACAAGGAGGCAAGGCTGTTGACAATTCTAGGCTAAGACTTTTAAAAGTGTCCACGGAAATACAATATGACCAATATATCAATATAAGAAATAAAAGAGTATATATTCCTTAAACAAACATAAAATTAAAACATAATTTTAGGTCTGTTATTCTGCTTGCATCCGGTTATAATAGTGATTGAGGTGGGCATTTAAAGTGCAGAATTCTGCATACTCATGCCATTGTACACATACCGTGTAACCTGCTCGTCGTCATTTTGGGTTTTTGTGGAGTTACCCCACAGAAACGACGAGCGCGTTGGGGGCCATTTAACCTTAGGTAATCCTAGTTCGTCTTTCGGAATATCTAATAGAGGATACGCTCCCTTATGTTTTCTTGTATTTAGCTCATTGTCATTGAATTCTGAATCCATTAACTTGTTTTCCTGGTCCTCGTCCTCAACAGAATCCTGGGACTGAAAACTGTTGTTATGGGAACCAAATCCAGATGTACTCTGAGACTCACCTCCTGCCTCTGGGGACGGATTTAGGCTCGGTTGTTCGGGTAAGTCATCCGTGTCTAAGGAGATATCGTTCCGGTTGGCAAACGTTTTTTCCCGCTTCCAGGATGCAGAAGATATGTCTTCTAACTGAATTACATCAGCTTTAGTCTCTCTATCGTCTACCTGTCCATTTACGGGCTCGGCATGTTTAGCGGTGAGGGTAGGTTTCGGTGGAGGTGTCGGTGGTTTGACGGGTACTGGTGCTACATTTGACCCGTTTTTCCGTCGCGCATGCTGGTGGGGTTTCGGATTTGGCACTGGAGGAGTTACCGTTGATGCTGTTGTCTGTGGCGGTGGTGTTGGCGGTGTTGTTATCTCTGTTTCCTCTTCTTCTATTCGATCAACAGCCATTGATTTCGATTTCATTGCAGCTTCACTCATTCTCCTCCTCATGGAAGTGGCTTTTCTTAACTCATTAACTGCTCCTATAACATTCTTAACGTTTTTAACCTTTAAAAAATCTGGCAAGGCGTAATCCTCGTCTTGAATGGGGTCCGTCTTTAAGGGTTTATGGAGGCTGTCTCTATGCTGTGGACTTCGCTTTGTCTTCTTGGGTCTGTGTCCAGATCCAAGAAGATAGTCCGGGATACTATCCACCGATGAGACCATAGATACTGACGACGACCAGGAGCTGCTTGTTGGATTCTTACCGCCTTTAGGCCCAGAAAGTGGGGTGTGCAAGCTTTTGGAATCCTGAGGTGTGCTGAAACCTTTGCTTTTTAAAATTTCAAGCATTTCGTAACGGAAGGCTGAAATGTCCACCTTTATCTCATTCAAATCGTCCTCACTAACACCAGTCTGCTGTTGGCCTCGTTTCATGAATTTCAAATATCGTTTGACTAGATTCCGCACAACTTTCTGTAAATAAGGTACGGAAATTAATTAATGTTTAAATACAAGAATGATCCCTTTCATGTGTAACGTATAAATACCTTATAGATCTCATTATTGCTTGGTGGTGCTTAATAGCTATTCAAATTAATGTATATGTGTTTCTGGATTAATTCAAAAAAGGAAAATGTAATTATTAAATTTATTTAACTGGTAACGTTTTGATAAATACATGTAAGGCTAATGCAAACATAACGTAATTAATAAATTCAAATGTTATTTCTAAATTCAAATTTCAGTTAAACTGGACTTAATTAACTGTTACCCCCATTACGCTATTGGCAAACCTAAATTACCAATCAATATTATACCTCACAAAGTAGGTTAAATATGCTAGCTAGCTACGTAGTCGATTGACATTATTGCAATCGCAGCCCTGGTTCAATACCTAAAAAGGCAAATAAGATAAAATGTCATATGTTACCTGATAGTTTTCGTCATTCTCCCTCCTCTTTAGTACATTTTTCTGAAACAACACAAAAGATACGTGTACATAGGCATAGTTTAAAGACGGCCACTCACTGACTGCACCTGGAGGTCGTCGGCCGACACGATTCTATGACGAACGCAACTCCACGAAGCGTGCGCAACGCAGTGGCGTATCTAGAAGTATTGTAGTGGGGCACTCATTGGGGTGCGCCAGGGTGAAGTTGGGAGGGGGGGTTCGATGATCAGTTGAGGGGCGCTAACTGGCAAAATAAGGTGAATTTTAGTGATTTTTAACTACATATCCGTGATTTCTTTTTTTGGGGGGGGGGCGACTGGGGGCCGAGTAATAATTCGGAGGGGCGTGCGTCTCCCGCGCACCCCACCACCTAGATACGCCACTGGCGCAACGGATCCTTTCTTAATGACGATCCGTTCAGACGTACTGCCACTAGGAAGCTTTCGATTGCACGACGATGGTAAGACGTAAAATGTAATGACGTCACTAAGAAGTCGCGTGGATTATGGGACGCAATTTTGAATCTAAGTTGAGCAGGGAACGTAGGACGGTCACGCATGAGTGAATCCGTTCTAGCGTCGCGTCGTCGCACAAATCGAAATCTCCCTACTCAATCAGCAGACGGACAGGGAGCGGAGTTGGATTCGTCGTACGACCGACGTACGCAGTGAGTATAGTGATAAATAAACCTACTTTGTTGAAATATGATGGATTGAATAACAATAACACATACTAATATCAATAAATTCTTAATAGTATCATTACTGGTAATATGTGTATATAGGCCTGTTTTTAAAGCTAAAAATTATAGAAAATTATATCATCAAAATCATGTGTATTTATGTAAAAAATAAAATAAAAATAATAACATTAATTCTAATATTATAATACAATAGCACTATTACTTATATTTTTATTAATAGCAATAGGAATTTTAATAAAAAATATATTATTATCATCATTATTATTTTTATTAATATTATTATTAGGCCTATCCTAATAATGATAATAATGATAAAGATGATTAAAAATTTAATTAAAATTTTAAAAATATGTAATAATAATAACAATATTAAATAAAAATAATAATAATAATAATAATAATAATAATAATATTTTCCTCAAATACAAGAGGAGGGCAAATCCAATGACGAACAATGTATCTGTACATTTGTGTATTGTCATGTTACTTATTGTTGAATTTGAATAAGTAATTAATCATTTACCCTTATATCTTTTTCTGAGTTACGTTTAACAGTGAGACTACAAGCTTTACGCTTGAGCCATCGAAGTATATAATAAATAGTTTTAGGACTTGGGATGATATTGAACGGTGGGGGCAGGCTTCCGCTTTCATCAAAATAGCTGATCCATGTTCTAGATCTTGCAAATTTCCAGTTTTCATCAGTTTTCTCCTGTAAAAGCAAAAATAATTTGAGAATAAAATAATTAGATAAAAAAAAGCATTGTCAGAAAGTTAGCTTAAATTCAAAATAGAATATATCTGTAGCTTTGGTAGTTGTTACGATTCTTGCAGAATTACATGTTTCATTACAAAGCCGTTTTTTCTACCTCTCTGTTCGTGATTGTTAATTTGAGGGTGTTCATATTTTCATTGCAATTTTCAACTGAGAAGAGGTAATTTTGTTTTTTTAAATATTTTATGTGGTTTAAAGGGCCTCTTCGTGTCATGCCCGTATGAACGTCTTTTCCCCATTGGTTAAGGCGTTTCAAGACGCCGAGTATCAATTTTGCTCTTCATCTTTTCTTTTCTTTTTTGGGTGGAGGTGCAACGTACAGTGCATATTATTGATGGCGTGTCAATGGGCCTCTGGTTTAGAGTCAGTATCCGAGTAGACTTGGTTTAAGGAAATGAAACCCTTACGGATTGCCAACAACGAATTAGTTTCTTGAAATTTTTACAATACATACAACTTTGTATTATAGTGATAGTTTAGAGTATACGGTACGTTATACTTAGGATAACCAACTAAGTCTAAAGACTTGTTTCCAGTGGGGTCCTTCTCCTGGTGAATTGGGCAATACACCGGGAGACATCCCCTACTCTTTTCTGAAGAATGTACTGCGTTCGCGTGCGCGCATATGGACCATATTGTATACGGGACCAACGGCTTAAACGGCTCATCTCTAAAGTAGAGTCATTTTCAAGAGATCCGTGACTAATTTTAGGATTTGGCAAGACGGACCAATTTAGATAAAATATAGCTCCTATATACCTCCCAGATATTGGGCGGGGGGGGGGTGAAGTCCCGTTTGGGGGTGTTTTTCAAAATGGCCGCCTGTTGATTTGGACGCTTGTATCACGATATCTCGAGAAATGCGATTTTTGAAAGCTTAACCTTTGACCTTGAATTGTCATATCTCGGTAACTACTGGTTACAGAGAATCACAATTGATTGAAAATTGTTCAGGAGATGCATGTTTATATTCGTCTTAATGAAAAAAATATTCAAATAGTGACCGGAAATGGTACATTCCGACCTTTGACCAATTGTAGGGTCATTCCATGTGAAATCAACCAGATTAAAAAAAGAAATTCTTGTATGACCGTCTCAGATTTTGATGACACTCCATAAAAATGATCCACTATACGAAAAAACAACAACAAAATTAGCCTTATAGGATATGTAGTTTCCGAGATATTGAACTCCTTAAAAAAGGGGCGTGGTTCTTCAAGATGTGCAAACGCAATTTACTTAAACTTTGGAAGCTTATAACTCAGGATTGGTAATAGCTATCAAGGTCAAACTTGGTATTTTAACTTATTTGTCGCCGTATTACACAAATATGGCCTTAGATTACCAGTTATCCGTTCCCTTTTGAAATTAATTTAGTATCGGCCTTCGTTTGAGTATGTACACTTACCACAATGTGTTGAAAAGACGTGTTCATCATAGCAATGAGTAAGTTGACTAACACGATGATTGTGGTGATGCAGTAAACACCCAGCATCCACGCCCCAACGAATTCAGTGACGTAATGTTCTGGTTCTACTTTGAGCACTTCCAAACTAACTAAACCAAACACTGCCCATACTAGAGCCTGTAAAGCTTGGAAGAGCCTACAAAAAGACAGAAAACTCACTAAAAATAACAAATTCATGATTACAATTCTATTGAGCTTATTCAACTGGTTCATTTTGTTGAGTACGAATTTTCTTTGAGTATTATTTTTTTAGACTGGATCGTAAAATAGAATTCGTTGACAATGAAAATTAACGTAACCAGAATGCGTTAATCAGCGTTAAGTTATGCACATGACCAAAACAATATGGCCCTTTGGTCTGTTTAGCATCAACATTTGCGTTAATATAATTTAGATTAAATTTCAGAAAATAAAAATTATAATATTTACCCACATTGTTTTTAACTCATCCACCTTGTTTTACTGTGATGGTGTGATGCAGGAATCTACTGCCAATAGGTCTATACTCAAATGCAAGTTTTAGTCGAAATCTAAATATTTTTATAGGTTAAACATTCAGAACAATAGTTACTTACTGTGTAAATGCATTGTTTTGATTCTCACACATAATACCGAAACAGCCCTCCACGCCGTCTGTTTTATAGTACAGGTAAAGTTGATTCAATCCAGCCGAGAACGAAAATAGTGCCAAAACTATCAAACACATAAATTTGAGAATGTCCTCAACCATCCTTCCTAGTGATATTTGAAGCGGTCCCAGATGTGAATTTGCCGTGAAGAAATAAACTAAACGTAACATACTGTAAATAAAGTTTATTATAATTAATTCATTTATAACAAACGATATTGGTTAACGCTGCCTAATGAAGAAGATATTAGGCATTAAATGTAGGCAAATACAATAGGAAAAGCAATAACCTTCCATATCAACATGCCAACAGCCTAACACCCATACATTTGGCAACTTAAAGACACGGTATTTAAGCCAGGCTCCGGAGGGAAATGTAGGCCTATTTCTGATTTTCCTAAGACACAAACACGGTGTGGTTCGACGAAAAACTCGGTAACAGTTAATAGGATATAGATGTTTGAATATTGAAAAACGGGGGAAAAAGAAAAGGTGGAAGAGGGGATGGTTATGCCTTCTTTTTCCAGTTTTTAAATATTCAATATCTGAGGCCTTCTTTTCCCAGTTTCTATATATTCAATATCTGTACCTTATTAACCATTGCCAAGTTTCTTTGTCTAACACCCTTTGTGTGTCTTTAAAAATCAGTTCTCTGCAACATATAATTTTTTTCCACGAGAGCCTGGCTTTAATATTAAAAAACATTGTAATTCCACAGACTATGGCTCAAAATCAGAATAGAGCCGCTAAGCTAGAAATTATTTCTAACCTTCTTTGTTTTATTAAATGACAACTATTTTTTTCCAGAGGCCAGAGTAAACATTTTGCTTTTATTTATCATTTAGTTACATGTGGTTAAGTTTCTACACTACACTCGATGATAATGGGATGGACACATGACAACCGTATACTGTACTCACACTTACCTTAATATATTCGCTACCGCAAACATGGCTTCTGATATCAACGTGGGGTCCCAGGCAGACCAAAATTCCCTTTCGCATTTGGATGGATATAAGTCTGCCTTGAACGTTTTCTACAGTCGGAGGATGTTTGAAAATAACAATTAATTAATTAAGCACATATATCAACAATATTTCGAGAAAAGTGTCATCTCACATCAATGACCATGCCATGACTGTATCATACTACGATAAAAAAAAACAAAAACAGAAATAGTATTTATTCAAAATTCATTCAAAGCTTTATTTAAAATTCACAAAGGACATGTTCGATCATGTTAACAGTTAAAATTACAAAGAGATCATAAGTTCGAGAAGGTAAAGGATAAAAGGCCAGAGAATTATTTAAAATGAGTAAAAATAAATGGTAAAAACAGTTATAAAAAGTTTTTACCGTGATGCAAAAAAGTATTTCCTAAGCACAACTTTTGTATATGTTGATCACATCTGAGTTGATTTAGTATAACGACACCAACATTTTTGTTTTCTTTGTTAATTTCAAATGTAGAATTATTAAAATACTGCACGTAACTGCGTTATTATTCAGCATCACAAATAAATAATTATATGAATATTAACATTTATTTCGTAGGCATATTAAACAGATGCACAATTCCACATCGAGTCAAAACACAACATAAAGGCCGTTTTCCAATAGACAAACTTATTCGCACGAATCGGAAATTTTCGCTTATACGCATGCACAGTTTATTTTTCATCACAAGATTTTTAAATGCGCATGCGTATGGGTAAAAATTTTCGATTCGCGCGAATAAATTCGTCTAGTGGAAAACGGCCTTCATAGAGAACGTGGGGCGATACTAAATAGCGCCATCTATTGTTCGTTGACAGATTATTTACATTACATTGTAATGAAGGCTGTCACATAATTGTTGTACGACGTTTCTTGCTACTACTGTATCCGAAACCTATTTATAATAAATGTCCACAGAAGTTTAATTGATAGGGGCAAGGTTTCAATATAAAAAACGTATGCGATCTGAAAACATATTCAGTAATTTTAAATTTAAGTTTGTTGATTATGATTATATTAAGCCGCTTTAGGTTTGTGTGGCTTATCGGGATAGACGGGGCCAAGAAAGGAGCGTTCACGTCGTGGCCCTATTCCTACCAATCGTTTGACCACTATACACGAGATCTTAATGTCGAGTTTTAAGATCAAAATCGACCTGGCTCTACAGAGTACGATCTCATGAATAGACTCGATAAGAAGAAGGTCGGGTTTAGAGCTCAACATTTTAACACAACGACACTTTTCTGCATGATCCCTTGGTTAGGCCTATGTTTTAGCAAAAGGTATCTGAGCCTATTAATTTAACTTTTATTAGGCATGCTTGTAAGTTTGTGCTTGCTTTTAAATTGTTTGGTTTTTTAACAAAAGTAGAAGTATATTAAATGTAAATTTGCAGTTCACGCCAATAATATAGATTTTGGTTCTCATGACGGTGAACTTTACCATTAGAGGCGGTAAGGGATCACTGCAAAAGTGTAATAACAAAGACGTTCAACTTCCAACAACCGTTCGTAACTCCGTATTAAAGACCGTATAACTGTATTTTCTAAAATGACTGTACTGTACTTAAAATTTTAAACTTTATAATTGTTAACGTTTCCATGTCTGTATCTTATGCACGGACCCAGTTCACACAAATGTTCCTATTAGAAAACTGTTGAAATTTCAGCTAAAGAACCTGAATGGAACATAAAAATAAACAAGGAGTCCTTTAAGGTGCATAACAACTACCACATTTCTATGACAAAATCCTGAAAGAGACCTCCTCCTTCCCGTATACTCAGTACACAACCCCTAGTAATCTAATGGTTAAGTTAACCATAACGGTTCATGAGCCAATGTCGAAAATTCTACAAATGTCATTTACTGCCTCGTATGACTCAGTCTTGCTGGTAGGAGTCGAAACTCCAATTAGGCCTACAGGGTAAATCCAAGTAACATTGTTTTTCACACTACTTGATTACCTTATTTGGATCATAGTATAAACAGCTATTTTGTATCGAATATAAGGAAATTCTTCAATAAATTAATAAAGATAATATTATTTAATTAAGTTTATAATTAGTTTATCGTGGAATGTAGTTGTCTACCAGAACTTACTGTAGCCTCCTTTTATACAATGTATTTATTTTATCATCATCATCATCATCATCATCATCATCATCATCATTATTATTATTATTATTATTATTATTATTCATTATTCAAAGACTTTTTATTCGATCATTTACAGTAGTTTTAGAAATCGGAATTTATCAATCCTCCTGTCCTACCAAAACTTATCCAATAGTACTCCTCCCCTAGGAAATAATGACAAAAACGGTTAGAATCCTTTGTGAAAAATGACTCATTCACTTCATATTTGCATTAAAGAGAGAAACCTTTTTACAGAATTACGAAGGGAAATAAATGCTTATAAAATTGCTTCAGATGTAGTTCAATGTACAATATTAGTGCTTTCCGATACGCATTAGCTATCCTAGATGATTCAACAATGTTTCGATTCCGTGATATTGATGGTGACATGTATCGTCCATCAATGTTGTTCCTTTGATCTTTTGCTTCTAACATTAAACTTCAATTACCAAGCTAAGTACAGTAATTCGTATGCATTATTCAATCTAAGAGATTATGTCGCCGAGGAAAATGCTTAGGATCCAATGGATTTGTATTACTTCACTATAAAAATGTCAGTGTTACCCTTTTAAAGGATAACATTATCTGGCATTCTATGGGTTTTAAAATTCTTGATTTTTTTACCTGATTCTAAATTTTGAAATAGAGAACATAAGCTGTCAGTCGTGCATCTTTGGCACTATCCAACAACAAATGGAACCAATATTCCTGCACAGCATGGAGCATCATCCTGAATTACTGTCCTACAAGGTTTCTTCTATTTCTTTAGCATATTGAGACAGATTAAACTATTAAAATAAGTACTCATAGAAGAATACTGAGATAGATTGGTTATATCATAGAGCAAAGAAAAGAGGTGGAATTTGTAAAAAAAAACAAAAAAAAAAAAAAAAAAAAAAACTACATGAATCTAAAGTGGAACTATACGTCAGGATTAAGGACGGACGATTTGTAGCACACTTTTTATATGGTGCTCTATATTTGACAATGAAGAGAAATAGTTGGCATACTCAACGTCTATATCGCGCCCCTTCTAGAAATAACAGAATAAATATATAAATAAATGCAGATAAAACTGGAATGACTAGTATCGTATGTGATTTAGTCAGATTGTAAACGAGTTTTTAGTGACCTTTTTGTAATTAGGCCTAGTGTTGTTTGAGAAGGAATAGGCACAACGCCTAAAATGAGTAGCAGTTTAAAATCAACTTGGCAAGGGGATTTGCACGTATATACTGGGTGCACGTATATATAAACATGGGATAATCGATAGAAACGGAAATTAGCTGAATAGGCCTATGTGTGTATACGAGGGGCAAGGATAAGGATACACCCGATTATATATTGCCACTAGACTTCAGTTACCAGGCAATCGTTTCCAACACTAATGTACACGTATAAGTAATTCCAGTACATGATGTGCTAGCACCAAATTTCCAAAGACAATTTCCAATGTTAATTAAAGGCATGGGTAACATGGGGCGGGTGCCGGATTTGGTGGTAGGTGGCCGTGCTTGAGAATCAACACCACCTCAGCCCCACCCACAGAAGTTTAAGAATATGGACCTCTAGCTGCAATTGCAATCTCATAAATTAAACGTCTTACCGGTACTAAGCCTATGTTCATATCAGCGATACAATACAAGAATTATTTTTTCAATACAATTTAGTGGTGAGATCACCGTCTGCACGCCCCTTACATCTGCCCCAGGTAACACGTGACATTATTTTCAATACTATTATTTATGTTGCATTTACCAGTTGAGGTTTGTGACAATACTATCATATTTTGATATCCACAAGGGAAATTTATTTTTTTTAATGAGATGTGAATGATTATCATAACGACAGAAACTTCCATGATAGCGCCAATGTTCTCACTTTAGTGCAAGATCAAGCATTAACATTTGTAATTGACAGAACTGATATCTTGGTTTCACTAAACTTGGAGGGTTGATGTCTTAGAGGGTTGATGTCAGGTCTTAAATTCAATTAAGGGGATGGCTGATGAAAGCCAATTCATATATTATGATTATGAATTGTTTGAAAAAAAAATTAGCTTCAACTTTTCTGCATTTTTATGAAGTTGTTCCAGTTTTCTACATTCATCCTTACTAACATAGGCCTAACTGTTTTAGCTCAATTCGGATATAATGGATCGAAACGATTGGCAAGATATAATGAACAACTGGATGTGAATCGGCAATAGTCTCACAGGAGGCATCACGCCATTAGGGTTTGATCTCATACCGTCACTGGACACCACAGTTTGGCTTGGTTATTATTATGCAAATTTTACTGTTGTTACACTAATTTCAAGAAACCTTTTAATACTATGGAATGCTTAGTTATATTTCTTGAGGCGGCTAGTTAACATAGTAAAACTTTTCTTATTTGGTTAAATTTATACTTAAATAACAAAAATACTCTTTTGTTTTATGGGATTTAATTTGAAGTAATTGATTTTTCTAGTATTATATATAATGGCACAAAACTCTGGAATAATCTACCCGAAGATAATTAAACAATCTAATCAAGGAAAACTTTTACTTTTAAAGTTAAACAATACCTATTAGCAAAATATGTTATTTGATTATAACTACATCATTACTCTATTTAGAGTACATTCATAGCACATCAATATTGAACAACACAAATTTCAAACTAATAAACAAAGATTTAATCAGGTATTTCTAAGACACGTTTCAGCTGTACCACACAATCATCAGTGAACTAAAAGAACTGAAAACTTAACAAATAAGCAAAGCCATAATTGCAAAACCTTCAGTATTTTCTCCTAGTATAGGCATATTATTATAAAGCGAATTTAAAGAATAATTCATAAACAATGTGAAATGAGATTTTTATTAATCTGCCAATTTGAAGGAAAAACGTTAAAAAGTTGATTCAAAATCCTTACAGTCTACAATCAATATTACCGTCAGTTTTAGCAATCACCATATAATTGAAAGTTCGTTTTTACCAAAAGTAAAAGTAAACGATTTAAATCATTTAGGCCTATTACAATGAAGACACTTGTAATTAAAGATGTTAATTAATAGTGATCGTATGATATTGAAGATTATTCTTGTATCTATGTATATTAAATACTGTAAAGACCGAAAGGTCCACTGAATAATCTCAGATAAGAAAGCATAATACATACTCCAAGTATTGAAATGCATGCTATCATGTTGGGATTCAATACTTCGACATTAATTAGGCCTTTGTCATCATCAGGAATGGTGATGATGATGATGATGACATAATTAATGTCGAAATATTGAACCCCAACACGTTGGCGTGTATTTCAATAATTGTAGAAATGTAGGCCTATGAAGAGATATTTAACAAAAATGTAGTCTTACTGTATTCTTAAAACGAACTTTAGTCGTAGTTCGAGCTAAAACTTTAAAATTACGTCATTTCGTATTCTTAAAACGAACTTCTACAAGCACTACGACCAAATGACGTGAACCTCGACTAAAATGATACCTCCGCAGGCCGATTTTTTTAGTCAGCCTAGGGTCAGTCTAAATCGCCGACTTGAAATATTACCCCACTAAAAACGTGTTTTTTGTAGGCCCCTAACTCACGATAAAATGGAACGAATAAAAACGATTGTATACACAGGTTTGATACCGTAAATCTTCGGTGTGTTAAGCGAAAGAAACATCAAGTTTAGCTTCCAGAAGGAGAAATTAACATGTTTTGCTAGCCACATGCTATAGTTCCTGATTTGCACGAAATCCCCTCGCGTTACGATCACGTAACTTCACAATAACAACAACAAAGAGGGCTCAACTATAATAGTTCTCCAAAGAAAGCAAATGTTCAGTGTCTGTTCAAATTCTCTATTGTAATATGTTAACAACTAATATAGTTATTATTATAGAAAATTTATTAAGGGAATGATGGTCTATTATGAATTATGAGGAAATACGTTTTTGAACCACAGACGGCAGCTAAATATTCATCCACGTTACCGGATCTCTAAAATTTCGTCTGCTATTAAAGTTAGCTCTTTTCATTGGTTAGTTTGGTAGTCGTGGCTTGCCAGTCGTCTTCAGTTAAACTAAAACTAGGACTTGATTTAGTCGTAGTTAAAACTTCGACTACATTGTTTGTGAATACAAATTGAAGTTAAAGATGCAACTAGCACTAAATGAAGTTATAGTTCGAAGTTCGACTAAAGTTTGTTTTAAGAATACGGGCTTTAGTGTTTCTGACGGAATAATATGAATATTTCAGGATGGCAAATGTTTTGAGTTGATTTCTGTAGGTTAAATGTACTTTGAGGCACATTTTGTAAAGCTCGATTTAGACTTGAAAGGAACACCAACACAAAATATATAAGCTGTTTATATTAGAGGCGAATTTCTCTAAAGTCGATGTTTTCAGACATCTGAATTTTAAAATGGTATTTCTCATGTTGTGCTCAACCTTAGAACCTAATTCAAATACCAAAATAAAGTTAATATGTCATGTATTATATTCAAATATATCAGTAACTCCTTTTTTATGGTACCACAAAACTCATTTTGTGACAACACCTTACTTTTCACTTTAATAATATGAAGATATTTAATACTCACCAAACAGTAAGCGGTGACACGTAATCCAATAACTCCCATATATAATGAATTAGTCATGAAGTCGAGTATATTCCACCAATCGCCCATATATTCAATTAGACCGTTATTCCATAATTCCTTAACTTCAGCCCAAATGTAACCTGTCGCACAAAATCAAATGAAGATTTAAAGGAGAAATTTACCAAATTTATATAATTTGAGAACTGATTTAGCATACTCATTTCCATAATATCACATATTTGAAATTATGAATCTCGTAGACGCTTTTAACCAAATTTATCCATCCGAGTTCAGCGGCAGGCCATTGTAATGCATAGGATTAGGCTGGTTCTGAGAAAATTCATAGCATTATTACTATCCTTGTATTCGTATAAAACCGAATGGCCCGGGTACGTAGACAAAGAAGTAATTTTAGACCTAGATGAGGAAGACACGTGAACGCAGAAGTGAAAAAAAACCCCGAGAAATATGTTGTATGCATAATGCCGCCTGTAGATTGAACGATTAGGCCTAGTATTAGAAGTTTGTGATCCGATAAAAACGGAAAAAATTGGGAATGCCGTCATGAGTTTCTTGGATAACAGGCCTACATTTAGCAGATGGGTTTTAATTCAGACACGTAATTTACGACGGTTTTGGATCCTGGAGTGTATGGCCTTTCTATGAGGTCTGCCTGGCACCAAAGTTTTAAACGCACGAGTCCGTGGCACTGTTACACTTATAAGTAGGCTACGGTCTCCACATCACCTTGAGGCAATAGATTTCACCATTTTCCTCAGCCCACATCATCATTCTTCCTTGTATCTTCCCACGCACTGTTTAACGTTTCCTTTTGAAACCTGGGACCTGCCGCTTACAAAGCGAGCGTCCATAAGTATGATCACGAAATGCGTTTTTAGTTTATGTGCGATCCGGTAGGCATTGAGAGCCTTCAATCATTGTTCCTTTGACCATCATTCAGATGCATTGATTAATTTTTGAGATATTGAGGTCTGGGATGTTCGATGTTAAGGGTCTCCACATGCACACCCACCCTACTCCGGAACGCATTATTTTTTTTCCCATACTGTTCCGGCAGAAATTATAGAGGGCACTATTTAAAGTCATTTAGGTGAACTGATAACCTGAATAATGCATGCATGCTTAATACTTCTTCTTGCGAGTCCCGTGTTGTTCGCTGCATGTGTGGAATATGAAAGCTACGGCGTTGTTAGGGCAGTAGGGCATGGAGGAGTTAGTTTAGAAAATAAACTAATTCCGCCATGGTTAGGTAGGCCAAAATCTTTTGGTAGTCGGTCGAGAGGAAAGTTTACGGAGTCAATACAGAGTGAACTACCGTAATTGACTACTACTGTAACTACAATATCCCTGCGCCTAGTAGGCAGTCTTTACGGACAGCACGGTCTTTGAAGTATAAAGCTAGCAGCGTTGAATTTCTGGTCGATTATTTGAGTGTGTAAAGTATAGCAATAATTAACTAGCTGATACTACTGATTCTAAAGGAAAAACGTTTATAAATGCTCGGACACACAGGTACAATTCTGTGTATTGTTTTAATGTTGACTTCTTACAAACATTTCGTTCATATTCAATATGAATAAAGGCATAGATTATAGCAAGCAGGTATATTATAAACACTAATTTTACGATATACTATAGGCCTACACACGATATGACGTACTGTTTAAGCTGTGTCTACACAATTAAATATTGAATAGCTTTATATTTAAAACGATCAAAATCAGATGGAAGTAAAAATAGCTTTGATTTACAGACGGTTCTACAAAAATCCTTAATTGTTACCAACCAATGAACCATGCAAAAGAATATATATTATAGAAACGCTCACTGTCTGTTAATAGGCAGAGATTTATTCTCATTAAAAAAAAAAAAAAAAAAAAAAAAAAAAAAAAAAAAAAATTAATTGTACTATGGTAAGTAAACTGTGTCCGAAGTACTAGTAATTTGTTTCCCAACATTTCTAAACGTCCTTCAGAATCAGTACTACTAAGTTCTAATAGGGAGCATACAATTGCTACGAACACACACGTCATACTGTATAAGCCTAACTGTGGGCCTGGGCCTCATATACGGTACCAGATTCAATCTTCTCCGTTTTGTTTTTATACTTTCGAAAACCATGCTGATGGCCTACATAGAATGTGTCTAATCTAGTACTACAATGTTTACACATAGATTGACTATCAAGGCTTATTTAAGATATTTTGGCCTAGTGACTCTATACATAGCTCATATCCACGCATAAAAATCGATACACCACTGACTCTGTTTCGCGAGTGGGGGGGGGGGAGTATGTATGCATATTCATGTATATCAGTTCTCCTAACTGACCTAAAATAGCACCCTCTATAATTTCTGCCGCAACTGTATGGGAAAAAACATAATGCCTCCGGAACGTCACCAAAATGGCATACTTTTCCCTTGTGCCATAACGAACCATTCATAAGAAATGTTTCAAGATTTTTTTTTTACATATTTCAGTGCGGGAAGTTCCCTTTAAATGGTCCTCATATTCACACTCTGCTTCGGATCATCACCAGTATTTAATTATTTCTGTTATGTCAAACCATTCTAAAAAGGTTCATTTAAATCTTTGATGAGTTTTGAGATATTTAGGTCCAGAACTTCAGCACTTTAAATGACCTCCAAATTCATACCCCAATCTGGATCATCACCAGAATGAAATAATTTCTTGTAACTTTTTTAACTTTTCCAGAAGGTTTCATCAGTGGGTTTCGTTCAGACCAGTTGATTAGATTTTGAAATACCTAGTCTGGGACGTTTCTCTTTAAATGGTCCTCATATCCCCACCCTACTCCGAATCGTCACCAAAATCTAATGATGTTTTCTAGAAAGTTTGATACAGATCAATAGGTCTGAGATATCTGGTGTGGGGTGTTATTTATAGAATAAAATTCCTAGGTTGAATATTCCAATGCATAATTCAACTCATGCATTATTTTGATTCATTGAATGTTAGACAATTAGATAATATATAAGAGAAGAGAAGAAAGAGAAGATTCACATCACCAATATTTCAGATTTAGCCTAAGGAGCAGACAACTTAACTGGATATGTGGCGTAACCACATTCCCTTAATTATGGAGCATAATAAATTGATTCGCATCAAATGTACAATCACCTTTCGACTAGTCTACTGTTGTAAAGTATGATTATCGATCAGAATATTTTAATAATCTTATTATTTGTTTCAACTTAGTTTTTTGTAGGTCACAGCATAGACAATCATTACTTCCCCTGTCTCGCACGTACGAGAGTACAAACACTGATGACAGGTCTTAAATTTAAGATTCAAGACACGAAAATTACTTGATGTATTGTCCACTCTCAGGAAATGTTGTGTTAGAAATCACTACACAATAACACTATTAATAAATAGCATACCATTTTGTTGTTTGGCATTAATTTACTATCATAAGCGTTTATTTATTATTATTAGTTATCTGTAATCTATACTCCACATTCGTATGCCAGATCGCACCATTAAAACTTATCAAAGATTGGGTGGTTTTATGCCTTTCAACATTGCTTTAGTTGTCTACTAAATACTTAACGGAAGATGCTATGAATTGAATAAGAATAGATTTCATTTCAGATCTAGACACGATATAACGTGGATGCTCTGTGCTCCTCTGTGGTGACGCTTTGGAGACCGTGTCGGCGCGACGCCGTTTGCTGATTGTCGATGGCACACTGAAAAGTTTTTCATTAAAAACCATCCGTTGCGCAAGCATCATCGATTTGCGTTCTCCGTGGAATAGCGTCGGTCGACAACCGTCGGCGAAATGGTACCAGAGTTTGAAGAAATCGTACATATTTTACCTTAGTACACAGTACTATACTACTATATATTATACTTCGTACTGTTTTAGAATAATAGAGTGTTTTAGATTTGCGTGCCACTAGGTTATTTATTTATTCTTATTAGTTTATATA